TATATGTAAATTCTAAAATATTCTAAGATTTCGCATTCTAAAATTCTAATGAAATCTTACAAAATCTAAAAAAAATTTAAGATATTTTTAAAAATTATAAAATGAGAACTCTTAAAAACTTTAGTATCTTTCAAAATTCACGTATATAAAAAATTCTAAAAAAAATTTTTTATTTCTAAAAATGCAAAAGAAAGAGATTATCTTTTCTTTTACAAGTTTCGAAAGGAAGAAGCATGCATTTTTTTATCTTGTTTAAAGTCTCAAAGTTGCATTGTTTTTCGCACATCTAGAGCAACATAGAGCACGTTTACCTGTACCTAACCTCACCGCAAATTGCTCCAAATTGCTCTTAACGACTCGATGCGTGTCCAGCATAAACAGGTGTTTACAAAACTGACGATTATATCCGTTTATTATTTTATTAATTTATTTTGAAAGGAAACAACGTGGGCACATCACCGTGCTATATAATTACAAATGATATCACGATTGTCACGATATTTGATATAATCGGCACATAAATATAATAAACATAATAAATGAGTTGCTGACAGGGAAAGAGTACGGTGAGTCATGAAAAAAATTTCAGTTTTAACGCTTTAATTTTATCTTAGACATTTCATTGTATTAATAGAAAAGTGACACAATTTAAAAAATTACCATTTTGAGGCAATGAAAGGAAATCGATTCTAAGACTAATGTATTTTTGTGGAAAAACAATACATTTTCTATCTGACTCTATATTGAAAAATAAGACTACAAGAACATCATACAAATGTATTAATGTAAAATTTAATTAATTTTTAAATTTAATATTAATGTAAAATTTATGTAGCATTAAATAATATAAAGCTAAAGATAGATATTAAAGATAGATATTATAATTTTTATTCTGATATTATTTTGATGAAGATGACCTAATCCGAGGTCGAAATGTTTGGAAGTTATCCTTATTCCAGATTAGCCAAGTCTGTAGAAAGCAGATTTTTTAAATGTCTGGTATATACTATGCCAACAAAATAACAAAATTAAATGTACATAATATTATTGATAGACTGCTAGAAAAAATTAAGAATCTACAAACAGAAGTAAATGACAGACTGAAGAAAGAAACAGAGCAGATTTGTGTGTATAATCTGATAGTATATTGTCTACAGAAACCAAGCAGATCCTATCGACATCACCTAGCTCTAGAATGTCAGCAGAAACGATTCTGCTTTGACACAATTTGATAGCAGATTGTTGACAGAAATCCAGCAGACATTTCTGCTACATTTGACATGTCAGAACATGATCTGCATCGTTTTTGCTGACAATCTAGCGTCGGATAATGTCGGCAAGATCTGCTCAGCCAACAATTTACCTTTATATTATGTCAACAGGCTATGTTAACAGAACACAAGCTTTATGCAGACGCAGTTGATGAATGAGTAGACTGCTGTCATTTTCTGCTAGAACCTGCTGACAGTCTGCTAGAAGATTGCAGACTTTTTGTTGTCTGGGTTATATTATATACTAAGAATAAGTAGACTATTGCACATTAATATCTTACGTTGACTTTTATGCTCCTTGAATAATTATTATTTTTGAACAATATATTTTTGAACAATATATTTATCAACATATAGTTTATATGAAAAAGCCATAACTTTGATCAGAAATGAAATTCAAATAATCCTATATAAAGTTGTAGTATTGGAATTTTGAAAACTCATGACACAGTTTTAAAGAGTATAATTGAAAGTAGAAAAAGATAATTTATTACTTCAGCTTATATCAAGAAAAGTTAATTATAATTACATATAACATATCAAAAAAATGTAAAAAAAAGTGAAGTTATGCAAAGATTCAGAAAGAATTTTTTAAATCGTCTACTGAAAGATTCCCTACTGAAAAAAATCATAATGTTACATGATGAAATCATGTAATTAAAACATGTAAAAACATTACCAGAATCCTACTCACAGATCATATCATAATCCTTTTCTCCCTCATAATTATCTTTTTTTCCTCTCTATACATCCCCCCCCCTCCTCCTCTTTAATCTCACTTCCCACTATTTTCCAACATTAACTTTACTTTCCTTCTCTGAAAATCATTTTAAATTTAATTTGTCTAACAACGTCGAGGATAAGAGACATCGATCTTTCTTTCATTGCATTGTCTATTTTCATATTATTTATTTTTTTTGGACTGAACTTCTCAGCAAACGAGAATAGATTGAAATGAATTCAGATGAATTGAAATGGATTCAGATTTTCAGAAATATTGATTCACGAATGTTAAAATGCAATCCTGAATTTTTATTCATTTTTATTCATTTATAGGAATTGCATAGAGCATATCTCTATGCTTTTCTATCTAAAAAATCTAAAAATAATATTGACTTTTTCTGTGCATTGTGATACTGTTCAATGCAAAATTTTGAATAGGAAATGCAGTTTTTCAATTCCATTGCATCCAATTGAATCCAATTAAATCCAAAAAAAAATATTCGCTATTTAAAACACATTCGGATAGAAAAAAATTTCAATCCATTTTAATCCATTCTTGTTTGCTACAGACTGTCTTGTTATATTGTCTCATCAGATTATATTTTTCTGTCATTCTTATAATCTTACATTATTATATTTATTATAGCTGTAATGCGTTATATTTCGTTCTGGACACCAATATAATCATACACCAACATTCTTTTACTGTATAATTTTACTAACAAGATGAAGATTTTTTTAATTATTGATACCAGTTAGATGTGATTTTGACATTACGAAATATAATTTCATTTGCCATCGACTGTCCATAATATACGTTTTTTTGACAAATTCTAATGTATGTATTTTATGTACTGTTCAGTTTAACTAACAAGACGAAAACCCTTCTTAATTTATTGATCCAACAATTATATAATTATTCAATGTGAAGTATATTTTCAATTTTCGATCGACTTTATGTTATGTTTTTTTACCGTTTAAACATGTTTTTGTAAATATTGATAATGATCCGATCGTGATCGAAACGTTTGTTGTGTTAGCCGGCTATTAAATTTCATAATTAATTTATTAAGACATTTTTTTTTACTTTTATACCAATTTTATAGGTAAACTTTCTAGTCCTTTTCGTAGCCCTTTTTCTTTTAACTTGTTTTTTAAAACATGTAATTTACGTAATTGTTCCAAATCAATATATAATTTTTTTATATAATGTAATTTGAAAATTACATGATATTAGAAATAATTTTCCATCGTGTGATTTTATAGTTATCGAATTTTAAAAAATTGAATGATAGAAATAGAAGAAAAAAGAACATATCATCATGTGACTTTTTAAAATACGTAATTTAAAAATTATATTCACTGATTTGGAACAATCCGTTACGTGATTTACATGTTGTAATTATATGATTTCATCATGGAACTGTGTGACGTGATTTTTTTTTCAATTGGATTGCTAATTATGAAACAAGAAAGTGTCACTTTCCTATTAACGTGACAATTTCAACAGAAGTAACTTTTGTTATCAACATCTCAAATACTGATTGTTTACAGACTGTTGCTATTCATGCCGGAAGAAGTTTGACGGGAGCATCAACGAATCACCTTCTGAGAGACCGAGGAAGTCATAGAGAGATGGACGTGAGTTCGTTGTTCAAGGCTAGCGTGAAGGCGGTGAATCTGCGAAACAAGGATCTCGGTACACCGGCAGCAGAGAGCCAACCGCGAAGAGTCAGGAGCAAGAGCACCTTCTGTGTGAAAGCACACGCAGTGGTCATGCAGATCTCTAAACTGCGCGAGTTCCTGCTGGAGAATCGCAAAGCCTATCTGAACTTCTCCAACTATCTGTCCGCGGCACCGTACATGACGGATGCGGAGCGCGACGAGATTGATCTGGGTGCACAGCGGATAATGAGCACCTGTTCGCAGCTGGTCAAAGACTTGAAGCGAGAGATCGCTGCGTCGACGGAGATCACCCAGCAGAACATCGAGCATCGCGAGATCATGCTGCTGCTTATAGAGGACTACCTGAAGAATGTCTGTAAGATATACTCGGAGCAGAAGGCGATGCGTGTGAAGAAGGCCATGGAGATGCGAAGGATTTCCAGGCTGCAAGCAGACCAACCATCGGCGACGGTGACGAAAAAATCGGCTCTGAACGCAGTCGATTCCGCGGACGATAATGATATCAAAAACGGCTCGAACGAATCTAGCCCGATGAAGATCCAGGAGATCAATGACGACGTCAACACGATGACGTACGAGGAGGAATTGTCGGCGGAAGATATCCAGATGTTTGAGTCGGAGAATGAGCAGTTGTACAGCGAGCTCAACACCATGACGGAGGAGGTGAAGCAGATCGAGAGCAAGGTAGTGCATATCGCTGAGCTTCAGGAGATCTTCACGGAGAAGGTTCTGGATCAAGACAAAGACCTGGATAGGCTGATGACAACGGTGGTCGGATCGACGGAGAACGTGAAGGAGGCAAACGAGCAGATTCGCCAAGCGATTCAGCGGAATGCTGGCCTCAGGGTGTGGATCCTCTTTTTCCTTCTAGTGATATCGTTCTCGTTATTGTTCCTCGATTGGTACAATCCATAAGTGTTGATCTCTTCGAATTGTTCTTAAGATACGGGAGTGAGGAAAGGCGATGTACATTTACAAGAGATGTTTGATATAATCCGTAAAATGTATTTCTGTTATTAAATTATTGAATTTTACGGATCGTATCAATTGTTACTTTCGTAAAAATGAAAGAAGAGACGTTAAAAAGTTGATAGAAAGAAAGAGAAAGAGAGAAACGTTTGCCAAAAAATATGTTGCTATATTTTATCCCCGGACATTATTGTACATAATAGCTATAACTTACTATATGCAGGGAACAAAATAATATGAATACCTAGGAAATATACGATTTATTTTATATTATTTTTATGAATAAAAGGTTGGCCCACCATTTGCCTTTGATGCACATCTTATATCTTTGTTGGAATAGAGTCATACAATGATTGAACAGTTAGTAATGAAATGTCATACTACTTTAGAAGAACGTCTTTCAATTGCTTATATAAATAATATTAGAGGAGGAAATTTATTTATCACTCTATTTTCTAAAATTGTTCTCTGTTCTTTAAAATTTCAACATCTTTCTTGTAATCACTTGATTTAAATATTAAGTCATTTGTAGTTTTGAAGAGCAGATTGAGATTTGCTTCCTCCAATATCTTTCAAGCAATTAGAAGAGGTTGTTGTATTGTATTTCTCTGGTATTCACATATTATTTTATCAATCCCCTGTACACACACATATATATATATATATATATATATATATATATATATAT